TATGGATTTTGAAAGGGCCACCCTTCGTTTTTAAAATTTTAGACTGGGGTGCCTCAAGATTTTGCATACTTTTAAAAGGTGCCGTGACTGAAAATGTTTTGAGAAATGCTTATTTAGAGTATTTTGATATCATGGATCTCCAAACTGAGATTTGTGGTTAAAAGACTAGTACTTGATACAAAACATTACATTGTATACACTGTATGATGTACATAAAAGTCTTTACACCTGTACAGAAACCGACATGTTTGATACTTTTGTTACTTTGGTGTACGGACACGTGTTCATGTGATGACAGTTGTCAGTTTTGTACTATGTCTTTATTGAACAGAAAGTAATATGTGTTGGAGATACTGTTGGCACAATCTCACCTTGGTTTTAGGGCCTGTTCACACATACAGCAGTGGCTGGTGTTTTCCCACATTGGACCAATGCCTGTCACCGCAAGGGCATATAGAGAACAACTGTTCACACCAAAACACATGTGTGATGTGTGGTGCGTTGGACTGGGGTAAAATGTGGACAATTTTCCGCAGCACACCAGCTGCTACTGGATGTCACTACACTGCAGCGCAATGTAAATCACTTTGTACACTCCAAATAAAGTTAAGAAAGTAAACCATTTCAGAGGACGCTAATCTAGGGGTGGACAAATGAATATGGAGTTCAGGAGTCAGTATGTCGAATCCAGAAGCAAGCAGTATTTTTTTAGGAGCCAGCTTTAATGACAGCAACTAGGGAATACCTCAAAAGATAGGCACCAGCTGGAAATTTTAAGGAGCATTGGCGACCTGTCTCTTAAGATTTTGGCCAACCCTTTCAGTAATCACACGGTAAAATTCCACATTTTGCCATGTGGCTACTGTGAACGAGGCCCTAAAATTTTCCTGTGCTGATAATCTCAAATGTTTACATACATGTTGACCCAACTCCAGGCAAAACATTTTTGTTGTTGTGGGTAGAGTGGGAAATGGTTAGAACATACAACAGATAGGGGGACAGAGTGGAGTTACGCTGAACCAGATAATAAAATATAATATGCTACACCAGTCTCCAGGGTTTCAACAATAATCAAGATATAAAGTGTCCCCAAAAGAATAGAAATCCCTTACTCTGAGCCGGTTCGATAAACAGGTAGATAATACATAATTTGACAATTAGAATATTTAATCATAGAAAAAGTGTAAACATTACAACCACAACGAGACATTTAAAAACAATTAAAAAACTTCCCTAAGGTAACAAATATAAGAATCATGGGTGATCTACAATCCAACTAAGGTAGTACTAAGGAGTAGCCACCTAATATACAGTTATCTCATGTGTGGGTACTATGTATCCCGGGTTACTCACAACTCATGTTGCTCAGTGAGCTCAGGGGGAGACAGTCCTGCTCGAGTTCCAAAATGCTGGATGATATGTTTGCTTCTATAGGTAATTGTGATTAAGATCAGGAGATGGGGATAAAGAGGCTGGGCTAAAGATGCAGGTGCCCCTGCCTTGTTCCCTTGCTTGGGGCTCTCACTGGCCCTCGGGCTCGAATTTCAAATTTGAGGAGATTTACCCACACAGTGATAACAATCAATAAATACCTGACAGATGTTCTAATCTTTCCTAGCTCTAGGTGAAGCACTCTAATTCCAGCATATTTGTGTGGACCAGTGGCTTGGGGACCACATGCGGCTATTGACTACTTTTGGTATTGTTTTCAGAAGCTTTTCAGTATCTATGTAAACACTTTCTGTGTTAAAGCATGCCTTTCCTTTCAGAAAACACTACAAAGTTACAGCTTAGCTGCGCTGTGGGAATGGCTAGTACAGCAACTGTAGTACTCTGGGACCCCCGGAACCTGGGCATATGGAAACATATGAAAATCCCAACTTTTCCTGCAAAATTAAAGAGCTCCCCTGCTCCTTTCTGTAGCTCACATTTGGTTGCTCGGGTTGGCGGGTATTATTGTCCTTTGGTGAGAGGAGAAAATAGAAAATGTTCATAATAGTATGCCCTGGTTTTCCATGTTCCTGGGGCAATGAAGATGTTGTACTGCTGGCACCTGTGCTCAGGTTGTTACTAAAACTTTTCTAAAGTTTCTCTTTATAGAATTTGTCTAAGAGTGAAATTAAGGAGACTCTGTGTCAGAGTAAAGTGACTGAGTCTCTTACTAGTCCACCCCCCAACCCACTCACACTTAAGCTAGCCATACGTGCTTACATTTCTCTCATTTAGTCCTGCTTGATTCCCCCATCCACACCAAACACTTTGGATGATGGAATTGCCAGCCATTGATACAGTCACTGTTTGGCTTAGATTTTTGCATTGGCAAAAGCCGGGTGGTGTTGACAGGGTCACCCATGGCTCAAATTTCGTCCGTCTATTGCCAGGTAAACTTTCCCTACACTGCATTACCGTTCTGTTCCTCCGCAATCACTTCCCTGTGTAAGTTCCATATCAGATGGTGTCAGAGCTTACCTAG